AGGGAAAGAAGAAGAAGAAGAAGAAGAAGAAGTGAAGCAGGGGAAGAAGAATATGATAAGAAAAGGGGAAAATGAAGCAGGGAAAGAAGAAGAAGAAGAAGAAGAAGAAGAAGTGAAGCCGGGAAAGAAGAAGAAGAAGAAGAAGAAGAAGAAGAAGAAGAAGTGAAGCAGTGAAAGAAGAAGAAGAAGAAGAAGAAGAAGAAGAAGAAGAAGTGAAGCAGGGAAAGAAGAAGAAGAAGAAGAAGAAGAAGAAGAAGTGAAGCAGTGAAAGAAGAAGAAGAAGAAGAAGAAGAACTGAAGAAGAAGAAGAAGAAGAAGAAGAAGTGAAGCAGGGAAAGAAGAAGAAGAAGAAGAAGAAAAATTGAAGCAGGGAAAGAAGAAGAAGAACTGAAGAAGAAGAAGAAGAAGAAGAAGAAGAAGAAGTGAAGCAGGGGAAGAAGAAGAAGTGAAGCAGGAAAGAAGAAGAAGAAGAAGAAGAAGAAGAAGAAGAAGAACTGAAGAAGAAGAAGAAGAAGAAGAAGTGAAGCAGGGAAAGAATAAGAAAAGAAGAAGTGAAGCAGGGAAAGAAGAAGAAGAAGAAGAAGAAGAACTGAAGAAGAAGAAGAAGAAGAAGAAGAAGAAGAAGAAGAAGCAGGAAAAGAAGAAGAAGAGAAGAAGAAGAAGAAGAAGAACTGAAGAAGAAGAAGAAGAAGAAGAAGAAGTGAAGCAGGGAAAGAAGAAGAAGAAGAACTGAAGAAGAAGAAGAAGAAGAAGAAGAAGAAGAAGAAGTGAAGCCGAAAGAAGAAGAAGAAGAAGAAGAAGAAGAAGAAGAAGAAGAAGAAGAAGAAGTAGAAGAAGAAAGAAGAAGAAGAAGAAGAAGAAGAAGAAGAAGAGGGAAAGAAGAAGAAGAAGAAGAAGAAGAAGAAGAAGAAGAAGAAGAAGAAGAAGAAGAAGAAGAAGAAGAAGAAGAAGAAAAAGTGAAGCAGGGGAAGAAGAATATGATAAGAAAAGGGGAAAATGTGAATTGTATACGCAAAAAAAGGGAAAAGGAGAAATGGAATAAAAGATATAAGAAACGAAAGAAAGAAAGAACGAAAGAAAGAAAGAAAGAACGAAAGAAAGAAAGAAAGAAAGAAAGAAAGAAAGAAAGAAATGAAAAGTAATGCCACGGAATTAAGAATTTCTCCGATGAAACGGATGATGAGAAAATCTTACAAGATAGGAAATGAGTAGAATTAGCGATTTTTATAAGTCGAACGATCCCCAATCCCTTTCATCTTATGCTTTTCTTTCCCCGACTGCGCATGCGTGATGTCTCAAATTAATTCCAATCCCCTCGATTATTATAATTTGCAACATTATATAATAATAGAATCTCTAACAAGACTCACTGCGACAACTGCAAATAAACGTTAATTTGCGTCTATTGAAGAATCAGACAACGTGTGCCGGGAGGGGGTAATGCATACCAGTTGTGACAATGGAATCGGCGACCAAAGTTCAAATTTCGCATAAAACAGATATTCAATTTGCTCTAACGCTTTCCGGAAAGACTTGAAGAGCCCTTCGCCTTGTATTATGGTGATTTCACAAGCGTAGCTTAGATGTAGCACAGGGTCGAAAGCATGGGACACCCAGTGAGGATCGAACTCACTACTCAGTCGCAATTGTTCTAGCCAGACAAGCTTGCGAGCCAGTACACCAACTTTATGTACTCTAAATGATATTCTATGCGTAGTTTAGGTGTGGCACAAGGCCGAATGTGTAAAGCAGTGAGATTTGAGCCCACTACTCAGTCGTTACTGATCTAGCGTGACATGCTTGCTAAACTTTTCCCGTTGAAGTGTTCCCTTCTCCTTGTATTATGACTTATTGGCAAATATACTATTTCGTCAAAAAAGGTAAATAAGCTTTTGGGAAAACCAATCTCCGACAGTTATCCTAAGAACAGGTGATAAAATGCTGACATTTCCATAATCAAATGAAACAGTCGTTCATTGAAGATTACTGGGAATACAAAGAAGATAGTTGAACTGGCATTGGGAGTAATGGATAGCGGCTCGAAGTGAGGAATCAGAGAGCCGAGTTCGAATTCCAGTTGAATCCATTACATTAATTTAACCTTGGGAAACGTATAAATCCCCAAGACAGAGCGTGTTCTATATTCTTGGATGGCAACTGGTCTACCGAAGAAAGAAATGGCAACCTACTGCGGGGAAAAAAATCTGCCTCGTCAATCATGTATCGAAAGATACATGATCGCCTAAATGTGTATCATGCATAGTACATAACTGATTGAGGAATCGGAGAGCTGAGTTCGAATTCCAGTTGAATCCATTACATTAATTTAACCTTGGGAAACGTATAAATCCCCAAGACAGAGCGTGTTCTATATTCTTGGATGGCAACTGGTCTACCGAAGAAAGAAATGGCAACCTACTGCGGGGAAAAAAATTTGCCTCGTCAATCATGTATCGAAAGATACATGATCGCCTAAATGTGTATCATGCATAGTACATAACTGATTGAGGAATCGGAGAGCTGAGTTCGAATTCCAGTCGAATCCATTGCATTCACTTACTTGCTAATACTCTTGGGAAAGCTATGATTCCTCCTCTTCTCGCCGCAGCTATGGGTAAATAGCAGAACAGACCAGGTTCTATAGCCATCCAAGGTTATAGAACTGGCCAACCTACTGCCGGAGAAATATCTGCCTCGTTAGTCATGTATCGAAAGATACATGATTGTCTAAGCGTGTATCACGCATGGCACATAACTGACTGACTGAATCTAGGCACAGGATTGAAACGATTTTACTCGTAAAAAAATTGACATGAAGTGAAATATTGGCAATTTAAATGTACCTATTTTTGATGCCTGGAGATGTAAACATAATAAATATGTAAATAAATGTAAGTAGAATAAATAAAAAATTGGGTTATTCATCTTAATAATAATAATAATAATAATAATAATAATAATAATAATAATAATATCAACAACTAAAAAAAAAATGACCCTGGAAATTTTCTGATAAATAAAATTATCCTGGAAAATTACAGGAAAAAAAGGTAGAAATCTCAGTACATCTTGGATAGATTACCTTAAAGCCTTTGATAGTATGCCACACTCTTGGAACTATTAAAGCTTTTGAAATGTATGACGTCTCTTTGGTGATAGGAAATTTCCTCAAATATAGCAGGGAACTGTGGGAAACCGCGTTTATATGTAAATCCCACCAATGGTAATGCCCCTTCCAATTGTTTGAATAACCGACGAGGAATTTTTCAAGGAGTGGGGAAAACCTGGCTGGTTACATTCCATCACCGCCGATTTGCCACTAAACTACCGATAGTCATGATGAACGGATGTCTTCTCGAGGAGGCACCTTGCCTTGAGAGGATATTGAGCCTCTTACTGACACACGATCTCAAGTGAAAGTCCTATATACAATCAATCGCTAAAGATGCAAGTGAAATGATCGGCCCCCTGTAGAGCCCTTCGGTTTTATTTGAAAAGCTTCCGAGAGACTCATTAAGTGGATTCCTGGTAGCCCAAGATTTAATCATACGCAAAAAAATGTACTCACAAGTACAGCTCACATTTTATATAGGTCTTTATCTTTGTAAAATGTCTGTGATATTCGGATTTTTTTTTTTTTTTTGCTAAAATGATCATGAAACCACTTTTGATCTTAGGTTTTTGATTGGGACCCGGAAGTAAATGTACAACAAAAATCAACGGAAATAATACTACTATCATTACTACTGCTACTACTACTTCTAATAATAATAATAATAATAATAATAATAATAATATCAAGGTCAAAGAAATTGTAAAGCTTAAAAATATACTATTCTGGCCGGGAAGAGACAACTCAACACCGCCAACTCAATACCGCCGACTGAAATTCGGACCTGAGACTACTCAGTACCAGAAATTTTTTTTAATACCTGAATAAAAGTAACTTATTAAAGATTAAAACCTTAATTAGTGAATAATTTTAATTATTTTTAAGAAATTTACATTTTAATAAAGTAAAAATATGCACTAGTTAAGATTTTGATCCTTAATAAATTTCTTTTATTCGGTTATAAAAAATAGGTTCATCTGGTGCTGAGTTGTCTCAGTTCTGAGTTGTCCCGGTGCACAGTCAGCGCTGTTAAGTTGTCCTGCACTCTTTTTGACCAATATTATCCCAGTTATCATCGGGCCGTTAGCAATTCTTCTGAAGACCAAGGTATCATATTTATATTTAAAAAATAATTTCACTTCAAGCCACTGAAACGAAAGTGAAATAAACAATTCAATAAAGGAACAGGTTTCAAGCCGATAGAAGATGATGACTGACATTGTATTTAAATTTTTTTGAAGTTGACAGAAGATGGAAATGAGTTCCACAAGATAGAAGTGTGAGCGCAGAAACGATCAGCATTGAATTTAGGGTAACATCTAGCAACGTCAACAGTAAGAAAATGAGACATAGCGGTCAATCTATTACTGCATACCAATTCGTGAGGCCAATCTACCAAAGAGAAGGTTTCATCAGAATAATTACCGAACAGACTGTATTTATGAAAACCCACAACATAATTCAACACTCAGGACCTCCGACTAGTTAGGAGATTTTTTTTCTTTTACTAATCCCTAAAATTTGTGCTTTCTTTTCGATATCCCACACAGAATGTTACATCTTGACGTTAGGAAAATGTCCAGGTCAATATCAGATGTGCTTTGACATCCGATGAATCTGTGTCAAAACAGGTAAGGATGCTCGTGGCAAGGTGAAGAGAATTAATGGGAGTTCGAAAGAGGACATGGCGGTAGACAAGTGATCGATAGCCATTCCATTTCTGAACATTGTAGGCCATTTGCTATCTCTCGATCGAAGGTGTCACCTGTAGACGAAGAATATATGATAGAAGACATTGCCGCTCACCGTGGATAGCACTGAAGGCTGCCGGGTCATACTAATCAGAGGCCTCTGGCTAGAACTGTCTATGCTTTTACAGTCATAAAATGTTGAAACACCGGTTCTCGTCCAAACATAAAAGTTAAGCAACGTCCAGCCGGGTCAGTAATTAAATGGGTGACTACTTGGGAATACAAGTTGCTATAGTCTTGGGGATGTGTGGCTGATATAATGGATAGCGGATCGAAATGAGAACACGGAGAGCCGAGTTCGAATTCCAGTAGACTTCGGTACATTCACTTAGGCGCAAATACCACTGGGAAAGGTATGAATCCATCACTTCTCCCCCAGCTATGGGTTGAATAGTTTGCATCTGGAAAATTATTGTTACAGGTACACATTCTTACTAAACTATTCCAAGATACCCCTTAGCCAGCACGTAAAGGGAAGACTCGCCAAAACACATGACAATACCAAATGTACTCTTGGAGAATTGAACACATTATGTTGTAAGCGGCGAGAGAGCGGGAAATCTTTGATAGATAAGAGACAGGGTCTCAGGGTACATGTATATGCAATGCTGGTAGAACTGGACGCATATCTAGCAGGTCAATTCAGTGTTCTTTAGATTATTTGGTATAAAGAAGCAAAAAATCCATCAGAGTGTCATCGGTGGCTTTCATTTATATGCAAGACGTTCCGGTTTGCTTAAAATCAAACCAGGGAAGAGACGAGATACACACCGTATCTAAACCAAAAAAATATCGCAAAGAACGTCGTAAACATTCTGGAGATTTGTGATAAATGGTGCGGTCGCTATATTCACTCGACATGAACGCAATCGAGAATTTATGGCACGGGGTGGTGAGGTATACTCATGTGCAAGCTCCTGAACCTATAAATATGATCATATGATTAACGAAGTTAAGCAACGTCGAGCCTGCTCAATAACTAGATGGGTGGTCGCTTGGGAATACCATATGGTGTACAGTTGAATAGATAAGGCCACGGAATTGTTAATCGGAGAACCGGTTGGCTACGTTATATTCACTTACGCGCAAATACACTTGGGAATCCAGAACTTCACGACCCAAATATGGGTTAATCATTAAGACTCGTATCACTAAAACCAATATTATCTCCTTCAAGAAAAACGAATCTTACAGTTGAAAATATTCTCTGGATTTAAATAATCTGCAATGGGTTGAATATATATGAATCACTAAAAAATAAAAATAACAGAAAAATGTGGACTGCTATGGAGACGACATGGCTTCGTATATCACCAGATATCTTTTGAAAACCTGTACAATTGATCCCACATCGAATTGCCTGGCTAAAGGGGTGCATGTACAATGCCAGGTATGACTTTTAGCCTTTTAGTATCGGTTGGTTAGAATGAAGTGAGTAAAAGGTCAGAGTTAGAAAAAATGGTTCTTGATGATAACACTCCATTTAAAAAAAAAAATAGTCAATTCTAAACAGATTCTGTAACTTTTCGAACGAATCGGAGGGATCCATTTTAGTAAGGATAACGATATTGGTGCAAATAATTCATGGAACAATAACAAAATTTCATCTGAGAATTACAAAGCATATCAGCGAATGAATCTCAATAAAATACGTAATATTTGTATAACATATATATATATATATATATATATATATATATATATATATATATATATATATATATATATATACAGCAAAGTACTTAAGAGGATTTATTTTTATTCACATTGTCTTTACTAAGGTTTCTTGTAAATAGCTACAGAGATTACTCCTTCCATTTTATCCCATCGAGAGGAAACGCTTCCAATTAATTGTCATTCATCTATTCTATTTTTTATTTCAGCCATTTTCCTATTCTGTCGTTCGTTCATTCACATACCTTTATTCTCATATTCTGCTTCGTATCTTTTTATATTCGTTACATTAGTGATAGTTCTCGTATTCAATAAATCATTCTGTCATATCGTACCTGATTCCTTAATTCATGGCTTTCTTTGTACAGTCTCATATTCTGCAATTGTGTAAGATCTCTCCCATCTCTTAATTCTTTTATTCTTATATACTGTAATTTGTCTATTCCGATTTTCGAATTTTCTTCATTCATTTATGACATCCATAACCATATTATTTAATTCACTATCCACCTCTGCCTATCGATTTGTTCATTCCTTTATTCTGTCATTCGTGCATTCTTCTAGTAACATCATCGCTCATTTATCCATTCTCGTTTCCACTTGCAAATCAAGTTTCATTTTATCACTTTCTTTCAACGATTTATTCTCACATTCTGTCTTTCGTCATTTCTCTTTTTATTTGTTCTCAACTTTTTTCTTTCTTCTTCCTCTCTCCGTCTCTGTTTTTTTTTTCTTTCTTTTATTCATTCTCTTTCATTACTACAACCGATAAGGCTCATTCATTCTCCCCTTGTCACTTGTAACGAAACGGGCTGGAAATCCGGGGCTGAGAAGGCAATTGTACAAAAAAAACCCAGTTGCATTTCGCACCCGGATTTTCTCTTAACTTTTCATAGAGGAAGTCAGCCATGAAAACATACAATGAAAAACCAAACAAGCAAGCATATACCGGTTTTCATAATTGGATTTTTAATAAATTGGCAAGATTAATTTGTTAAAATAGTTATTTCTGATATTTTTGCTCGATTTGAGAAATCCATGTTAGTTTCACGCGAATAAACAGGTTAAACTTATTACTAAATAAAGTAATGGCAAATGTTTCATTTTTCAAAATGGATTTTTGCTGAGGCTTCGTAACCACCGTGAAAGAATCAAGCTTTGGGATCAAACGAAAAAATTTCTTGAATTACAGAGACCTCTACACGGTTATGTCATTAGAAGTAGGTGAAAGTGAAGAAAGATATAAGATTGAAACAGTTATACATAACTTTAATAATGTTCAACAAGTCAGGGAAATCAATTTATAATGATCCAAAAAATGCGGCGATTTAAATCCAGAATGTAGTGATTAGAACCGGTAATAATCTATCTATCTATCTATCTATCTATCTATCTATCTATCTATCTATCTATCTATCTGATCCTGTTCCTTTTCTTTCTTTCTTTCTTTCTTTCTTTCTTTCTTTCTTATCCTGTTCCTTTTCTATCTATCTATCTATCTATCTATCTATCTATCTATCTATCTATCTATCTATCTATCTATCTATCTATCTCATCCTGTTCTTTTTTTTCTTTTCTTTCTTTTTTCTTTCTTTCTTTTTTCTTTCTCATCCTGTTCCTTTTCTATCTCTCTTTCTTTCTTTCTTTCTTTCTTTCTTTCTTTCTTTCTTTCTTTCTTTCTTTCGTATCCTGTTCCTTTTCTATCTATCTATCTATCTATCTATCTATCTATCTATCTATCTATGTGTGTGTGTGCAAGTTTCGTGTGTGTATTATTTTTCACAATAATTCCGACTACCATTTTTATGCGTATTAATGCACACAGGCGGTCGGTACTGATCTTTCGGTGATATGGACATTCAGATCTCGGTGAAGTCAATATTTAACAATGAAGGGTAGATGGCGGATACATATAATGAATTCACCAACTAAAATCTAAAATTACTGAACTGAAAAACAAATGTGGAAATAATAACTATATTATATATATATATATATATATATATATATATATATATATATATATATATATATACTCTACATTGATTGCACAACTCGGAGATCCATGCTGTCTGCAATACTCGGGTGCCAGTTTTAGGTTTACACTGTTTGTTTCATATTTCTAGTTATTTTATTGTTGAGGTGGATTATTATTGTTGCTTATCCATTTGACTATATATATATATATATATATATATATATATATATATATATATATATATATGTGTGTGTGTGTGTGTGTGTGTGTGTGTGTGTGTCTGTGTCTCTGTGTCTGTGTGAGTGTAGGTATAAATGTCGATATAAACCACTATATATGTGGATGCACTAAATAAAATTAAACACAAATTTAAAATAGAACACATTTCAAACATTACTAAGAATGCCAATAATAAACATAAGAATAGAAAACGCAACATAATTTGGTTTAACGCACCTTTTAACAGTAATGCCAATACCAGCATCGGTAGGATTTTCCTAAATTTAAGTCACAGATATTTCAACCATCATCCTTTTACTCAATAAAATCTTTAATAAGAACAATATTAAGATTAGCTACAACTGCACCAAAAACCTTGGGCGGTATATAGCTCAGCATAATAATGTAACATAAATCAAATACATAAACAACCACAATAATAATATAAACACAGAAAAAAAGTGTAATTTTCGAAAAAAAAATTAACTGTCCAATAAATCATAAATGAATGTATAATGGCGTCATCCACAAGGCTAGTTTTAAACACACTGGCGAGACCCATTTTTATTTTGGTTCCACAGCCAACCCCTGGAAAAACCGATATTATTACCATAAAATAAACTCTTAACAATAAGCAATATGCAAATGGCCAGTCACTCTCAACGTTTTTGTGGGATATTAAAACAGATGACAATACATAGGTAGTAAATTGGAATTTTGTTGCCATTTCTACATCTTTTTCGGTCGCAGCGACTGATGCAATCTGTTTTTGCTGGAAAAAAAAAAGATTCATTCTCAAAAATATGACCGTATTCTACCTAATAAACAAAATGAACTCATGTTAGCTTGTAAACACAGAAAGAAATTATTTTATTTTGGCTAGATAAACTATCCAAATATCACATGAACTTTACATATTTTAAATTACATATTGATTAATAGTTCCAGCCTGATGAGCTGGTAAAACATGAAACTTGCCCTACGAACGTAGCTATATGTGTATTCATTATATATATATATATATATATATATATATATATATATATATATATAGAGAGAGAGAGAGAGAGAGAGATAGAAAGAGAGAGATAGAGAGAGAGAGAGATGTTTGTATGTGTAAGGAGATACTTACGAAAATAACATTAATGATAGTACATTTTTATAGTCACAATTTTACAACTAGATTCATCCGTGTGTATGTGTGTGTATATGTGTGTGTGTGTGCGTGTGTGTGCGAATTACATAAAACTGAAACTCTATTATACCCCATTTATATGGACATTTCGCTCCTCGAAAGATTTCTTTGTTAGACAAATTTCTTGGGGCGTATCAATACTAAAACCTTTGATAAAAAAAAAAAAAAAAAAAACGTTTTAGTATTGACAAGCTCCAGTGAATTTCTCTGAGAGAGAGATCTCTCGAAGAGCGAAATGGCCATATAAATGTGGTACAATTGAGTTTCAGTTTTCTGTAATTCATTTATATGCTCTATAAGAAATATACTGAGCTCTCTTTTGTGGATCAGTTTAAATATTTTATATTATTAGGATTCACTTGGATTACTTACGCAAAGATTTTTTACCTATATATATATATATATATATATATATATATATATATATATATATATATATATGTGTGTGTGTGTGTGTGTGTGTGTGTGTGTGTGTGTGTGTGTGCATATATATATAGAGAGAGTGCAACAGAAATACATCTTTTTTTTTATGTGCCATGTCCATTCAGGACGTAGGAGATCATGGCTCTCCGCCTCCCTCTATGTTGATCTCAACAAGTTCTTTCCCACTGCTTCCTCCCCCAGGTCACATTCTCTCATCCACCTGCTTAACCCGCCAAGTATGTCACGCGTTGTTTTTCCCTTGTCTCTCTTTCCCTCTGTTCGACCCGTGTGTATCAGATTCTCTATGTCTTACTTCCGCACAGTTTGTCCCAGAAACTTCAGCTGCCTCTTCCTGATATTAAGTAACCCTCCTCCTTGTGCGCAACCTCTCTAAGACCCCCCTCCTTGTGCGCAACCTCTCTAAGACCTCATCGTTGATTACATGCTCAGTCCATGATATCCTTAGCATCCTTCTGTAGAACATCTTCGTCACCTCGAGTCTCTTCTTCATCTTTAAGGAAATCGTCCAACATTCACTGCCGTAAAGAAGGACAGATGTCACGTATTTTTTGCCGTAAAGAAGGACAGATGTCACGTATTTTTTGCCGTAAAGAAGGACAGATGTCACGTATTTTTTGCCGTAAAGAAGGACAGATGTCAGTATTTTTTTTTTCGTTACTTAAGAAATCCTTCTGTCTCGCAATACTCTGCCCAATTTTTGGAATGTGTCCTTGGCTATACCAATACTTCTACGGATCTCAGTGTCATCACACGTTTTAAATTGTCACCTCTGTGGTACGAGTGAAACTAGGCAAATGGCAATGTTATCTTCATCTTACCATCTTTGTTTCCAGATACTATCAGTTGCCATCTCGTCTTAGAGCGGTACAATCCATGTATTTGCTATTGTAATTCTAATACAGAATTACCTTTCGTGCTCGTTTCATATTTCGTCGGAACGATGCTATTTCGGATAGAAAATCGATACTGCTGTGAGTTGAAACTCTCAGGGGCACACGTTCATCGCTCGAAACAACGCCACCTGGAAGACCTCGAAGCGCTCGAACCTCCGGGTGATGGAATACTTTAGAAATCGTATTCATGAGTCTATCGTGAATAGAGACCATGAAGGATTTCACTTTTAAACCAAATGAATAAAATCTGTAGCCCTTTGTTTAAACAACAGTGAAAAATATTTAATAACAGTTACATCTTTTTTCAAGCTTTAAAATATGGAAGGTATTCCTACCGCACTTGTATAAAGGGTAGAACAGTATAAAACTCTTTCAAGTAGTGATTTACTACGAATAGCTTAGATGTGGCACAAGGCTGAAAGACAGAGCACCCAGTGAATATCAAACTCCTTACTCGGTTATAAATGATCTAACAAGACAAGTTTGCTAACAACTACAGCACGTCTATGCTATAGTTATATTTATATATTATATATATATATATATATATATATATATATATATATATATATATATATATATATATGAAGAATAATAAACGTAAGTAAACTTATACAATCACATCTAAATACATACATTCATTCAAACATACATGGACACACACAGGCATACACACACACACACACACACACACACACACATATATATATATATATATTGATCGCTTTGTTTATACATTTTTATTTATTTGTTTTATATATATATATATATATATATATATATATATATATATATATATATATAATTAATTATTCGAAAATTATAACATAAATATGTTATTAAAATATTTATGTTATAATTTTCGAATAAATAATTGTATTTGATCTACTTTGTATTGAGCACTCTTTTAAGAATAGCATTCCTTGGTTATTGAAATTTATTCCGTATACACCGATCCTATACTTGTATATATATATATATATATATATATATATATATATATATATACAAAGCGTCCCAAACTAAGGGACAAAATTTTAAAACCTAATATTTGTTAGAAATAACAACTGTGAAGAGCTGAAATTTTGACAACTGGTAGTCGTTATCATCCATAATAACATACTAAAATTTGAATCATTTGCAAAGGATAGAAAAAGAATTATAACAATTATTTATTTATTTTCAAAATAGGATCGTCCAAAAGTAAGGGACAAAATTGAGAAAAACAATGTAAAGAGTATGCTATATTCAAATTTTTGATTTCCTCTAAAGAATAAGTCTTACTTAGTCATTTGTAAACGTTGAATCAGCCGGCACCATGGCGAAACGCCAAAAAACTTGATTACTCTGTGAGACAAGCTATTGTGAAGCTACACAAGGAAAAGCACACCATTAGAGAGATTTCAGAGAAAGTGAAACGTTCCAAGAGTGTTGTAGGCAGGGTTGTTAAATCCTACAATGATACTGGCAAAATAGTTAGTGCTTTTAAAACCGGCAGACCCCTGCAAAACTTCGGCAAGAGAAGATCGAATAATGCAGCGTATGTCATTAAAGGACCGTTTTAAGTCTTACACAGAAATTAAAAAGGGTTATGAATAGTACCACATGTGTTAATGTGTCAAGACAGACTGTTTGTAGACGACTGCAAGAAATAGGGCTGTTTAATCGAACCCCAGGGAAGAAACCACTTGTTAGTTCGAAGAATAAGAAGAAGAGATTAGATTTTGCAAACAGGTATGTAATTTGGACATATGAAAATTGGGCCAAAGTATTTTTCAGTGATGAAAGCAAGTTTAATTTATTTGGAAATGATGGAAAAAACAATGTAAAGAGACGTATTGGTGAAAGATTAAGTGCAAAGTGTACTAAGAAAACTGTCAAGTTTGGGGGCGGAAGCGTCATGGTATTTGGAATGTTTTCAGCCAAGGTACAACGCCTCTTGTCCGGTTACAAACTCGTGTAAACGCGCAGATCTATAAAAAACATTGTTCAAGATCATGTACAGCCAATCATACAG